GGGCCGGGGAAATAGCTCAGTGGAACAAGTGCTTGCCCGGCAAGCGCAAGGTCCTGAGTTTGATCCTGGTGGCGCAAAAAAAAAAAAAAAAAAAAAAAAGTATAGGAGTCTCTAATGGAGTGATGTTGCATTATAAACATGCAAAAAGAGAAGTAGACCTCTGCAGAGATAAACATACAGGTTTCCCTAATGATTAGAATGACTGCTATCAGATTAAGATAGTAACTTAGCAAGAATTAAAAAATGACCAATTTTTTTAAAAAAATAGAAAAACAGACTTTACATTATAGAAATATGGTCATGATTTCATAGGAAAGAAACTAGATCAACAAAACAAGTTACAAGCCTGCTGTGGTTGCATTTACCTCTAGTTCAAGCTGCTGAGAGACTAGGACCAAAAGATCACATGAGCCCAGGTGTTAGAGTCTGCCTGAGTACCACTCATCTCAGGAGACACCCATCTCAAAACAAACAGAAAGCGAATTGTAATAAGTTCAGAAATAAATGATACATTTAGATTCTGTTTTGTGTGTGTGTGTGTGTGTGTGTGTGTGTGTGTGTGTGTGGTACCAGGGATGGAACTCAGGGCCTTGTGCTTGCCAGGCAAGCACTTATTCCACTGAGCTATCTCCCCGGCCCTCCACATTTGTCACCCCAGGCCCTGGATTCTGTTTATTTGCTACATCCCAGGAGGTTTAGTTGGGTTTGTGCTTTTCTTTTTTCTTTTTTCTTTTTCTTTTTCTTTTTTCTTTTTTTTTTCTTTTTGGCAGTACTGGAGATCAGCTTAGGGTCTTGCACATGCTAGGCAGGTGCCCTGTCACAACTCAGCCAACATAGGATTTTTTTAGAGAAAGCAAGCCAGTAATGTATGATATGATCAGTTTGCGATTTTTCCACCTAAAACATTTGATTTCTTTAATGCAGCATAATCTGAAAACCGGAGTTTAGTGGTGCATTTAGAATACCTGATTTATAGAGTTGGAATTGTAGTAAAAGTAGTATTAACATCTTATTTTGATGTTCATATTTATTAAGAAATAATGAAGGGATGGACAGATAGATCAGCAGACTAAAGTGCTGGTTTAGGGAAGCTTAAGCAAGTCCAGGGACCTTGTTGTGGCAGCCCCGCCCTGAGGGGGTGGTGGCCCATGCCTATAATTCCAGTGCTGGGGAGGCTGAATGCAGGAGGATTATCACAAGTTCGGAGCTGCCTAGTAAGACCCTGCAACAACCAAATACATTGGGGGATGGGGGGGTAATGTACTTTCTTTTCTTTTTTTTAAACCAGTTATCAAATTTAGGACTTGCTTTTGCTAGGCAGGTGCTTATGTTGCTTAGTTATCTCCCCAGCCTGAAATAATATAATGCCCCCCCCCCAGATTGAACTCAGGACCTTGCGCTTGCCAGGCAGGTGCTTATTCTATTGAGCTATCTCCCTGGCCCAGAAATAATGTAACTTTTAAGAATTTGGGGGAGGGGGGCTGCCCATTAACTTAATTGTTTAAGTGCCTTCTTAAAGCAGTCAGGCTAGGGTGCTGTGGTTCAATACACACTCACTCAAGCCAGACCAGGTCTGCGCTGAAGCAACATGAGGCCACCAAAGAAGAAAACAAAACCCTTCTGCCATTTTTTCCCTGGCAAGTTCAAGGGTCTGAGTTCAATCCCTGATTCTGCCAAAAAGAAAAAAAATAATAATTGGTTCAGGGCTGGGGATTTTAGCTCAGTGGCACAGCACCTGCCTGGCAAGCAGGAATTTGTGTTTGAGTCCCGGTACCAAAAAAAAGAAAGAAAGAAAGAAAGAAAGAAAGAAAGAAAGAAAGAAAGAAAGAAAGAGAACTTGGTTCAGGGGCTGGAGAGATGGCTCAGTGGAATACGTGCTTCGCTGACAAGCACAAGGGTCTGAGTTCAATCCCTGGTTCTGCAAAAAAAAGAACTTGGTTCGAATAGGAGGGGAACTAAGAAGAGGAAAGGAAAGAAGGAAGGAAGGGAAAAGGTAAGGAAATAGGAAAAAATAAGAGGAACTAAGGCATATCATATACAGGCACAAAATTCCCTGTGATGAATATGATTCATATGTATATTTAAGATTTATCAATAAAATTAAAAGGAAAGGATTTAAATATCAAAGGATCAAGAAAAGCTCTTGAGTAAATTAATGGAGCTCTTGAGTATTTTTCCAAAATGACCTATGTTTTGCTATGAAAGTCAGATGTAGAAGATGTCTTACTATCATATAATTTTGTCAGGAAAAAAAAACAGTAAGAATTGGCCTTAGGAGGGCTGGGGAGATGGCTCAGTGGAATAAGTGCTTCCCTGGCAAGTGCAAGGGCCAGAGTTCAATCCCTGGTTCCACCAAAAAAAAAAAAAAAAAGATTTGGCCTTTTATTTGATAAATGCAGTTTCTAAGTATGGGCTTGAATTTATAGTCTTGCTTCAGTCTCTCAGAGTACCGGGACTACAGATGTGCACTATCATATCTAGCTTTACTTCTTAATTTATATAAATTATTTTAAGCACAAACTAGTGTTTTGTTTTGCTCTGGGTTTTTTTTTTTTTTTTTAATAGCAGGGTCTTTTCTGTGTAACCTAGACTGACTTTGACCTCAGCCCTACTGCCTCACCCTTTCCAGTGCTGTCATCACAGCATGTACCACAAACACCTGGCTTACAATTTAGATGCTTAAAAAAACTGATACCCAAAGTGATTCATATATTTGTGTTCGTAAAATTTTCATATGAACATTTCAGGTGTGTTAATTCCTATCTTACACATTCTTCCCCAGCCTTTTATTTTAATAGTTAAGCTATATTTGTTTCAAGTCTGTTTCTCTTTAGTAGCTTTTTCTTTAGTTTGTGAAAGTTAAGTAATAACTGCTATTGACATTGATTTCAAAGAGTATCATAAAGTGATTCTCCATTTTGCAGCAAGGTTAAACAAATTTAGTAAATTTATTTATTTTTTAAAATAAATTTATAAAGGAGAGGATAGGGAGATAGCTCAGTAGAATAAGCACTTGCCTGGCAAGTGCAAGGTCCTGAGTTCAATCTCACATACTGCAAAAATAATAATAATAATAATAATAATAATAATAATAAAAAATAAGGGGCTGGGGAGATAATAGAACTGAGGACCTTGCGCTTCCCTGGCAAGCGCAAGGGCCTGAGTTCAAATCCCCGGTTCCACCAAAAAATAAAGAATAAATTCCTTTATTTATTTATTTTTGTCGAAACTGGGGATTGAACTCAGGTCCTTGCACTTGCTAGGCAAGCACCTTTTCTAGTGAGCTGTCTCCTCGGCCCCAAGAATAAATTTATAGAGGAGCTAATTTTGAAACATTCTGTGGCACAAAGGAATATTTTTTTTTTTTTTTGGCTTTTCTGAGCATTTATTACAAGATCCCAACAGTGTTTTATTTTTTCTTCTCAACATCCTGCTCTGAGGCTTCCTTGGCTCTCTTCGCCCGGATGCCAAAGAGCCGGGCGTTGGCACGGGCCATGCGCAGACTGGCGAATGCCTTGAAGTTCTTTTCCTCCTCTGTGATGACCCTGGCCTTCTCCTTCTTGTAGACATTCCTGATGGGCATCACAGGCCCTGTCAGCTGGGCGGCCAACTTGAGTTCTTCAGCCGAGCTGTCTCCCTTTTTGGGGGCTGATGGCTTCCTGGGGAAGAGGATGAGCTTGGAGAGGTACTCTTTCAGCCGCTGCACTATGGCCTGCAGGGACTCGGTGGATTTGTTCCGCCGCCTCGGGTCCACCGAGATGCCAATGGTCCGCTCCACCTTCTTGTGAATACCGGCCACCCGCAGCTCCTCCAGGCTGAAGCCCCTGCCGGCTCGGACCTTGGTGTGGTAGCGCACCATGGGCCGGATGGGCCCGGGCGCGGGGCACGGGGCGATGCGGCGCGCTTTGGCCTGCCGGGCCTTGCGCCTGCGGATCTTCCGAGCTGGCTGGTTGAACCACGTAGCCACATGCTGCTGCCAGTCCTTGTGGAAGTGGGGCTTCAGAATCATGCCATTCCGGCTGGGCGCCATGACTGCCTCTTAGGCCGCGGATCAGCGGAATCAAAAGGCACAAAGGAATATTTTAATTAATATATATAAGTACCTATTTTATTTTTATTTATTTTTTTGGCGGAACAGGGATTGAACTCAGGCCCTTGCGCTTGCCAGGGATAAGTACCTATTTTTAAAATATGTGTAAAGCCATTGGAGAGTTGTGAGCTATTGTAAGTATGGTAGCATCTACGTTACTATACTAGCACAATGCTGTAAAAGGAAGGGCTTAGAAACAGACAGTACTGGACTGGCAAGATAGCTCAACATACTAAGCACCTGCTTTGGCAAAGGCAGGGACAAGGATTCAGTCCCTGGTCCCACATGCCCTGCAGTCCTGCCCCCAGGGCATGCTGAGCCGGCAACCTAGTCCCAGCATGGTGGCACATGCCTGTAATACCAGCACTGGGGAGGCTGAAAACAGGAGGATCACTACAAGTTCAAGCTGCATAGTGAGACCCTGTACCAAATACATAACAGATAATATCTTTCAATATTACTCTCAGCAATATGCCTATCTTACAGCCTGAGGTCAGTGTCTGACTTCAGCATACTTACCGCTTTATTTCAAGATTTTGCTTGTCTTTTATAGGAGGTTTATAAGATTGTGATGCAAAGTTAAAATTACCTTATGGGCCAGGGAGATAGCTCAGTAGGATAAGCACTTGCCTGGGACCTGAGTTCAATCCCTGGTTCCACCCAAAAAAACAAAAAAAAAATCTAACAGTCATAATAATTAAAGATATTAAATGAAAAAGTGGGTATTGAATATACATAAATTCTTTGATAGGTTTTCATCTATTTATAAGTTAAAACTATTCTAAAATAAGATTTAAATTTTTGAAGATCTGTTTATAAAACTCAGAATGCTAATAAATTGTCCCAGAAGAACTAGTATTTTTGTTAAGAAAATCAATTGAACTCTTTTCCCCAACCTTATGTTTTTTAGGATTCAAAATGACCAACGAAGAACCTCTTCCCAAAAAGGTATGCGTTTTCAGCACTTACTGTTTGCTTAATTCTCACCTCTTGTACATATAATAGTAATCTTTGTTAAAATACGTATATACACACACACACACACCCCTCAGGAAAGTTTATTTCACAAGTTAGCTTTCTTTTTAAATGTAAATCCCTGTGACTGTAACTTTGTTTTTTGTGGGGGAAAGGATCTACAGAGGGTTTAGGGTTTCACTATTAGATGAGACTTGCAGTGATCTGCCTGTTTACAGCCTCCCAAGAGCGGGGATTACAGACACAGGCCACCACACCTAGTCTCAATTACTGTCTCAGCACACCTTGGGGGCGGGGCCCACACCTGCATGGCAGGCCCGGGCATCAAACCTCTGGCCCCTGCACCTGCTTGCAGGCGCTTTAATCAGCTGAGCTATTTGGCTGGCTGTATGACTGTAACTTTTAAAATGATTTGCATATTTTTCATGCTATTTTGAGACAGTGTTTCTAGGTGCTTGATGCTGGCCTCAGACTGCCAGCAGTCTTCCTGCCTCAACTTCCTAAGTCCTAAGATTACAGTTAGGCACCATCATGCCCAGTTGAGTAGGTAGATTTTTTTATTTTTTGAAACAGGGTCTCACTTTGTGTTGTAGGCTGCCTTTGAACTCATTATGTAGCCTGGGCTGGCTTTGAACTCCTACTGATCTTCCTGCCTTAGCCTCCCAAGTACTGGGCTTATGGGTGTGTACTACCATGCCCAGCTAAGAGTCTGCCTTCTAAAGTTTTGTTTTCTAATTTCAGTTTTCCCTTGTTCTACATTGTGCCTTAGTTTTCTTCGCTGTTACATATGTACTATGCATATACACAGGGGTGTAACAAAAAACAGTTTCTAGGAGGGATTTGTGATTTGGATGGGAAAGCAAGATACATGCTTATTAAAGTTATTTAAGTGAACCACTTAGGTATGTGTTAGGAAAATTTGTAGTCATTTTTTGAATTCATGAAAAAAATTATACCGTGTATTAGTAACATGACAATTAGTATATACTTCCTCTGGTAGTCTTCATTTCTGTTTTCCCCGCTTTCTTTTTGCAATATTACTATTTTTAGTTAATACTACAATTTGAAATGTATTTTGACAGTGTGTTGGGGATTAAACCTTACGGTCATGCTTGTTAGACAATTGTTGTACTACATAGGTACAACCATATATCTTTATAAAAAGAAACTAACAATGTTGAGGCTAGGTTGATAGCTCAGAGGTATGAGCAACCACCTGTTAGGCACAAGGTCCCAAGTTTGATTCCTGGCCCTGTGTGCCTTGCCAGAACCAGAACCAGGCATAGTGACACACGCCTGTCTGTCATCCCAGCACTTGGGAGGATCGCTGGGAGTTCGAGTCCAGCCCAAACTACATAGCAAGACCCTGTCTCAAAAGAATCTAATCCTTAATTTTATACTAAACTAGAGGTGCCTCCCATTTACAATCACTACTTGACACAGGGGAAACAAAATATTTCTCAATTTATGAAACAGTTTGAATATATGTCCCCTTTTTATCTTGAAATAATCACAGATTTCACAGGAAGATGTAAAGAAATGTGCAGGGAAGTTCTATGCATGTATCATTTGGCTTCTTTCAGTGTTAACATCTCATGGCTGGGAGTGGTGATACACATTGCTGTAATCTTAGCCTTAAGAGAATGAGGCCAGGAGGATTCCACAAGTTTCAGTATGGAAACCAGGAAATTGCCACTGGTATAATCAAAATTACTTAGATTTTCAGTTATACATGCCCTCTTTTTATAGCTCTATGTATAAAATATTATTGCAGCTATAGCTTTATGCAACCTTCACCAATCAAGGCATACCCACACTCGCCACAAGGAGACTCTCTTGTCTTACTCCTTTATCACTACATCCATCTCCCTTCACCCCTAAATATCTGCAAATTGTTGGTCAGTTCTCCATTTCTATAACTGTTACTTCATGAATATTATATAAAGGAAATCATGAAGTATGTTTTTTTTGAAGTTATATTTTCATTTACTCAAGTTGTTTCATATACCAATACTCTGTTTCTCTTGCTGAACAATATTCCATAGTGTAGATGTGTCATAATTTTACAGACATTTACTTACTAAAGGTTGCATAGTGATTAGTTTTATTAGCACATAAAGCTGTTATGAACATGTTTAATTTCTCTGAAGTACACACTTACGAGGAGAAATGCTAAACAAAAACAAAAACCAGGGGCCGGGGAGATGGCTCAGTAGAATAAGCGCTTCCCTGGAAAGCGCAAGGGCCTGAGTTCAATTCCCAGTTCCACAAAACAATAAATTTAAAAAAAAAAAACCAATAGTACCCAAATACTAGTCCTGCATAGTGATATATACCTGTAATCAACCTGTTTGAGGTCTTTTTTCAGAACCAGGGATTGAACTCAGGCCCTTGTGTTTGCCAGGCAAGCACTTATTCTACTGAGCTATTGCCCCGGCCCCTTGTGTTCTCTTTTTTATTTATTTGTGTGTGTGTGTGTGTGGCCAGTTCAGCCCACCAGGGGGCGGGGCTGGCTGGCATGTGGTGCCTGGGGGATTGAACTGCGGTCCCAGTGCTTTGCTAAGGTTGTTCTAAGTAGGTGCTTTAGACCCTGAGCCATCTCACCAGCCCCCCTTGTGTTCTCTTAAAAAAAAAAAAATTATGTAACTCCTTGCTTATCATATAGGAGGCCCTGGGTTGCACATCCATTTCTAGCTTTTGTTGTCTTTATTTCTTTCTTTTTATACCTACCACCAATCCATCCCACTTTTTATACCCATCCTTGTACCAGGGGTAAAACCCAGTGCCCCTGCATTGAGCTACATAGGACTATAAATAACTTGTGAGTTACTTATTTTGAGATAGGGTCACATTTAACCTTGTCTCAGGTTGGGCTTAAACTTGTGGTCTTCCAACCCAGACATTCATGTACGTAGTATTACATGCATGCATCATTATGCACAGCTCCAGTAGTTTGCCTTTTAAAACTTTTAGTAAAATAATATTTCAATGAAGTTTTTTTGTTATGCATTTAAAAATATCTTAAACACATGATAAGAAGTACAAAATGCCTGCCTGGCAAGCACATGGTCCCTGAGTTCAATACCCAGTACCTCAAAAAATAATAATAATCATAATAATAATATAAAGTACTGAGCCATAATTCTCTTGAGCAGTGTTATAGAAGGATTTGTGTGTGTGTGTGTGTGTGTGTGTGTGTGTGTGTGTGCTCCGAATGCCTTCAGGGCAGGTTTGGCTGGCTTGAGTTGTGGGCATCGAACCACAGCAACCTGAGCCTGACTGCTTTGCTGAAGCAGCCACTTAAAGAACTGAGCTAAGGGGCATGACCCTCTTGAGCAGTGTTATAAAAGAGTGTTTAGTTCATTTTTTAAAATTTTCTTTATAGGTTCGACTGAGTGAAACCGACTTCAAAGTTATGGCAAGAGATGAGTTAATTCTAAGGTAAAATGTTCTATTACCAAAAATAAAAATATTTCTATAAAACATGGTGATTTGTGCTGCAGTGTTTATGTGAAACTTTTCATCAAGTCACTTTTAATGTACTTTTGAGCATATTTGCGGTGGCCTATTTCTTTATCGTAGAACACTTACGAAAGTACACTTCTGAGAATGACAATATTAGCATGGGTGACTTTTAAATTTAACATTTTCTGGCCAAACATGGTAGTGCCTGCCTGTGTAATCCCAGCACTTGGGAGACTGAAGCAAGAGGTTCTGAGCCAGTGTGGGCTACGTAGAGAGTTCATGACCAGCCTGAACAGAGTCTGAATTTTTTTTCTTGCCTAGAGGTATTCATAATTGTTACTTGGAAAGTACTTATTTGTACATATTGTATAACTTGTGGAGAAAAATCAGTTCTTAAGACACTTTCAGTTTAAAAAAATTAAGGGGCTGGGGAGATGGCGCAATAGAATAAGCGCTTCCCTGGCAAGCACAAGGGCCTGAGTTCAATCCCCAGTTCAGCCAAAAAAAAAAAAAAAAAATTAATAGGCATAAAAAATTAATAGGTTTGTTTCGATTTTTGTTGTTGTTGTCGTTGTTGCTTGTTTGTTTTTTCTGTATATAATATTTGAAGAAACATCCTAAAACTTGATTTCAGCCGGGGATGGTGGTGTACACGTATAATCCTAGCATTTAGGAGGTGCTAGAAGATTGCTGTTAGTTTGAGGTCAACTGGACTGCAAGATTGAGTTTACCTGCCTGAACTGCATAGTGAAATCCTATCTCAAAAAGATAAAAAATAAATGAATGATTTAAAAATAAAACTTGATTTCTGTTATAGAAGAGATACATTACTAAGTTTCTCTGTTTCCTAAGTAGCCTCGGGGCTAGTTCATTTTACTTAAATGTCTTTTTTTTTTTTTTTTCTTTTTTTTGGCGGAACCAGGGAGTGAAGTCAGGCCCTTCAGGGAAGCACTTACTCCACTGAGCCATCTCCCCAACCCTACTTAAATGTCTTTTATTTTCTCTTAAACAAATTAAAGAGGTTGGTGAACTTGACGTAAAGTATGTTTTTGCTCATTATAATTTTAACCTCATAATATCCCTTGATTATAAACAAAATCAATTTCTAGCTTAAAATTAAATTTTAATTAGGTATAATTGGAAAAGCAACTAGAAAACATAGCTCTTAAGAAGCAAGATCGCAGAATTCAGGAAAGATATTCTCTGCTGGGAGTTGCTTAACCCCTAGGCAACTGGGAAAATGTTTACTATTTATCTGCTGTAATTGCCAGGGGGTGATAACCTATATATTATAGGTACAGGACAATAACAAGGGCAAAAAGTGCCTTCACACCTGATAGCATATGCAGGCTGTTCTTCCCAATTAGAATTTTTCTTGTAAAGTACTAAAGGTTGAGGAACTGGGGAGATAGCTCAGTTGAGTAAGCACTTTGCAAGGGCCTGAGTTCAATCCCCAGCTCCTCAAAAAAAAAATAAATAAATAAAAAATAAAGCACTAAAGGTTGAACCCAGCTCCTTCACAATGACCTATATCCTTGGCCCCTTTAAATTTTTTTTTTTTTTTTTTTTTCATTTTGAGATGGTCTTGGCTGAGTTTCCCAAGCTGGACTCTCTGCCTGTGATACTTGAGTGCTGAAATTATAGTCATGTGCCATTGTGCCCCCCCCCCTTTTTTTTTTTTTGGTTTTGGTTTTGTTTGTTTTTGGTTGGTTGGAGATAGTCTGTATGTAATCAGGTTAGCCTCAGCCTCGCCAGTGCTGGGACTACAGGAATGTCTATGTATCATCACCTCTCCCTCCCCTCTCCTCCCTTCCCCTCTCCTCTCAGCAAGGTGTCATGCTCAAGCTCAGACTGGCCTTGAATTGTAGATCCTTCAGAATCCTGTGTGCTGGAAATATAGGCATGAGCTGCTATGCACAGCTTTTCACAGAAAGTAATACTATGTTCTAGAGAACTACAAGAGAGACATTTGAAAGTTCTGAACACAGATAGAACTTCAAAGAAAATCATATGTATTTTTCACAGAAGCGCCTTTAGTCTCATGTAATTAGGCATATATCTTATGTGCCTTTTATTTTACAAAGGTGTTACATCTAAAGGTAGATTGTGGTTTTCATTCAACATCTGCAGTCTAGGCTCTGTCTCTTGTCAGTGATACAAAAATGAAATTGGGATATGCTGTCACTAAGAAGATTGAGCTTGGTATACTTTCCCATCCAAGTACTAACCAGGCCTGACCCTGCTTAGCTTCCGAGATCAGACAAGATCAGGCGCTTTCAGGGTGGTATGGCTGTAGACTTGGTATATTCTCGATGGAGAAGACTTCTGTATGTCTCCTGTTACTTGTCTCTTGTAAATTGAGAAGGAATAATGAGGTGACTAATTTATTACTGGTTTGATTAGATTTATAATTATCTTAAATATAGTAGAATTCTTAGGAGTACTTAAAAATTTATGAATGAAGATTGGGCACGGGGGTGCATGCCTGCAATCCCAGCACTTGGGAGGCTGAAAACAGGAGATCACTACGAGTCTGATCTGTGTAGTGAGACCCCGTACATGCTGTACACCCTGCTCTAAATTCATAAAAAATTATGAATGATTTTTCTGGTATATTTATTAAAGCAGTTTCAGTATAATAGTTGACATGATTTTCTTCTTTTTAATTAGATGGAAACAATATGAAGCATATGTTCAAGCTTTGGAGGGAAAGTACACAGATCTTAACTGTAAGTTTGAGCGTTAGCTTCCTAAAAACTGAATTGTCCTGGTACCACCAAAAACAAAAAATATAGCTGAATAGTCATCTTTTAAGTTGTTGCACAAACATGAAATAGCTGACTTTACTAAAGCAAATGTAGCTTTTGGTCAGTCATTTTATTATAAGAATTATGTCCACACATTTTGTTGGGTGCTAGAAAAATACAACAATAAATAGGACATGATCTCTTGAATTTCTTATGATGATCATTGAAGACATTCATGGAGTAATCATATAATGGTAGAACTATTTTTAGCAAATTTAAGCGCAAGGTTCTGAGAGTGTGTATATTAGGATAATTTAAAACTACTACAAACTAGGGGGTGGCAGAGATGGCTCAGTGGAGTAATTGTTTCAGTGGCAAGCGCAAGGGCCTGAGTTCAATCCCCGGTTCTGCAAGCAATAAATAAATAAATAAATAAATAAATAAAAACTGCTACAAACCTCTTTTTCCCTTTTTTTTTTGGAGACAAGATCTTACTATGTAGTTCAGGCTGGCCTTGAGCTCACTTTGTAGCTAAGGCTGGTCTTGAACTCTCAACAATCCTGCATCATGTTCTTCAGTGCTGGGATCACAGGCATGTGCCACCATCCTTGGCTGCAAACTTTTCTTGATGCATTCTTGACTTCTACTTAGGGTTTTGAATTGACTAAACAATTTTTTTTTTTTTTTTTTTTTTTTTTTTTTTTTTTTTTGGGGTTTTTTTATTAAAAAAAAATTTTTTTTTTTTTTTTTTTTTTTTTTTTTTTTTTTTTTTTTTTAGTGGAACCGGGGATTGAACTCAGGCCCTTGCATTTGCCAGGCAAGCAACTTATTCTACTGAGCCATCTCCCCGGCCCCAGGGTTTTGAATTGAGGCATGAGTTAACTAGTACATAAGGAAGGAATGTAGAGAAGCAACCAATAGTAGATTGATGAGAACTTAAATTGTAACATTAGGCTATAACTATTTACAGATTTTTCAAAGACTGCTAAAGGGCCGGTGAGATAGCTCAGTGGACTAAGTGCTTGCTTAGGCAAGCACAGAGACCAGGTATACTGAGCCAGCCACTGAGACCCAGCATGGTGGCAAATGCCTGTAATCCCCGCACTGGGTAGGCTGAAAACAGGAGGATCACTATGAGTCCAAGCTGTGTGGTGAGATCCTGTACCAAATACAGTTTTTTAAAAAAAAAATCTGCTAAAAATAATACCAACAAAATTAATAATGCTAAATAATTTCTGTGTTACTTTTCATTTGAATTAGAATAGTACCTTTTAAAATGCGACATTATAGGGGGCCGGGGAGATGGCTCAGTGGGGTAAGCGCTTCCCTGGCAGGCGCAAGGACCTGAGTTGAATCCCTGGTTC